GCAATGTTTCAACTTTCCGACCAGCTCGTCACTTGGCTCGACGCGAGGATTGTGGACTGAAATGCAAACACCGACCTGTTAGCAGAGAAAGACAATAAATCAAAAGGACGAAAGCAGAATAAATAAAGTGCTTACAAGGGCCGGAAATAAATTCGGTAGATGGATGCCGAGCTGCATTGGGCGTCATCCACTCGCCGCCGACCCAGAACCACTCCGACATGTAGCCGTGCAGAGATTCTGGGACCCTATGAATCAACGATCTGTCCACGCCCGGGGCGACGGAGTTATAATAATTTCCGGTCTCCCCGGACTTCTTGAAGACAAACAGAGAGCCCACGTCGGCGCTAGTCGGATCCGCCCATCCTTGCTGACGGAACAGAACAATGAGGCCGACGAGCTGAGCGAAGACCGTCGGGACTAGCTGGCTGATGCCAATGCCGAGGTCGCAAAGGATACTGTTCAGAGCCCCAGGCAGCGGAAATCTGAGGCCGAGCAGGATCTCGCCCGATAAACGCCGATGCAACCCGGCGGAGGGCAGTGGATGCGCTCACCCGCGTAGGGAGCAAAGATCCTCACCCCGGCGCCGAAGCAAGCCTTGCCTCTCAGTTTGGCCAAGTCAAGGTCGGTCAACACTGACGGGGTTGTCCACGCGGTCGCAGAAGCAGCGGACGGCCACACCCGCGGAGGGCGGCACCAACACCCCGAAGGAGCCGTAGTGGCGGCCTCGACCGCAGCGTCGACCTCGGCATCCTCACGAGCCATGGGAACCCGCTCTCTTCCATGGGTGTCGCCCCGGAGCGTCTCTTCTACCAATTCGGCGTCGACGTCAGATTCAACGGGAGAGACGGAGCCGGTCACCTTCTCGGCCTCCTCGGCGTCAGACTGACCTGAGCCGAGGTCAATGATTTCGATCGTGGGGAAGTCCGGACGTCCCCCACGACGCAGGCCCGCCGCCGCTGCCGCGGGCGTAACGCGGACAGCCGAAATCGGAGTAACTCTGAGCGGCTGCGCCGCCCCAGTCGTCGGAGGGGAGTAGACCACCAACTCCCCGGTTTCCTCCGCCGCGAAACCGCCATCTCCGGTAGGGGGGTTGGTTACATTACCAGAAGGGTTCGACATAATCGAGAATAGAGAAAGAAAAAAAAAAGATCTGGAGATAAGTGGAGTTACCGGTGCGAAGATCGCCGGGAAGTCGCAAAAATCTCGAAAATTGCTCTGAAACCTTTGCTCGGAAATTCGGATTGCTCGAAGACTCGGTTGCTGAAAAAAAATCGCAGAAGTAAAAAACCTCTTGAGAGAGACGAAGATGAGTTTATATGCGGGTCACCGACCAATCCTCGCTGGACACGTGGCACAACGTTTGAAATTCAAAATAAACGCACGATCTAACGACTAGGATGAACGCAATCGAACGGTCCGTGGACGACCGCGTGGATGCCACGCACCCCAGAAGTCGCCGTTTCGCTGAAACGACACGCCGCTTGACAAGGACGAATGAAAGAATGACACGTGTAAAGGCTCTGAACCAGCGCGACTTTTCATAATCGACATGAAGCGTAACGGTCACGACGCATTAAATGACCTGTCGCTTTAGGTCTGAAAGAGACATGCGAGATGACGGGGAATGATCCTACAAGTCTGGGTAACGCGCCGACCTCGGATATACTCCAAGATAGCGACCTTACAGAGGATGCCGAGCACACCCTCTCCGAGCTTGGGGGCCTGTATGTTGACATCCGAGTTCGCCCCCCCAAGATCGAACCGGCCAAGGCGGCTTCGAGAGCTGAACCGAAGACCCGGTCAGATGAGAAGGTGTCGATTTGAACTTCAAAATTTATTGGCCCTGACACCCCCGCGGGCCCATCCTTTAGGCCGGCAATTGCGATAATAAGGAGCCGGTGCCGGCCTGATGAGTGACGAGCTGGGAGGAAACTCGTCAGGATCGAGGGAGCAAAATGAAAACAGAAGCCAACCTGATGGTTCGGAACGGATCTCCCCTGGTGAATGCCGATCTTGATAATAATATAATAATGCCACTTGGAGAGTAATCATTGGTGATTGGACGGGGCATTCTAGCCTGCTGACCTACCTCCCCTAGCCAAGACATAAAGCCTGCCAGCATTAAATGACCCCCATGTACACATTAAATGCCTGTCAGGCAATGATGAGGAAAACCTCAAATCGCATTAAATTCTGTCAGGGAGGCGCCGAACTGCTCTGCAAGAACACTGTACGACAAGACTGGTGAACAATGCCTGAACAGTGTCACATTTATGGCCACTATAAATAGCAGCTCACTTCATTTATTTTGGGTTATTGAATCCCAACTGTCTGAACTCTCTCTACTTTCTCTCTCTAAAACCCGTGTAATAACTTTGTAAGAATTTGTAAGGATATTGCAAGTGCCAACCTCGTACGAGAGGCCGACCTCGCGATCGATCAATAAAATCGTAATTGAACTGTATTTCTTCGTCTTTTTCTCATTATCCTTTTATTATTCATCTTTTTAACCGTTGAGCGGAAACGTCCGTCAACAGGATTTCTTTTGCTAAGCGACCTAGGAGGACTTTGATGAGGTGTTGGCGAGGTGTGCCAAGTACATGAACGTGGAAGAATCAAAAGCCGACCTTTTGCAATCTTCAAAACTAGCTAAAAGGGAGAAAGTGCGAGAGGAGAAAAAAGAGAAGAAACACAATCCGCGCAGAGACAAGAAAGACTAGAGGAGACCTGATAAGTGGAAAGGTAGACCTCTTAAAGATGGTCAGAGGTATGAGAAGTACAAACCATTGTCAGCTAGTTAGGCAGGAGTGTTGTAGGTGATGAAAAGAAATGTAGATGAAAGCTTGGTGACCTGGCAGAAAACCAGGAAGGATGGACATTCGGGACCCAAAGTAATCTGTATTGTCGCTTTCATAAGGACTGTGGACACACCATAGATGATTATAGACATTTGAAGGATGAAATTGAACTATTGATAAGGGTTGGGCACCTGAAGAAGTTTGCTTAGAAAGATAGAGAGAGAGCTAAGGGTCGCAGAGAAGTAAGGAACAAGATACCTAGGTCCTCTGCTGAAAGAGATGTGCTCCCACAAAAAAGGAAAGTGATTTATATGATTTTGGGTGGACCAACAGATGGAGACTCTAATAGAGCTAGAAAAGCTTATGCCAAGAGCCCAAAGTTGGAGGTAAATTAGGTCTTCATGCAAGGACCTCGGATAAATTTTAGACCAACTGACACACAGAGTTTCACAGTCTGCAAAACGACGCATTGGTGGTGTCAGTAGAAGTTGCTGAATAAAGGGAGCTTAGTGGATGTCCTTTTTTACAACTACTTTAAGCAAATAGACATAGATGTAGAACCAAAGGCGAGGAACACAACTCTTTATAGATTCGATGTCTTAGAGGTAGCCCCATTTGAAGAGGTTCCATGGCCCGTGATGCTAGGAAGCGAAACCACGAGGATTTTAGGGAGACCTGCGTTGAATGACTTCCAAAACCTACTACATGAAGTTCAGGTTTCTAGTCGGAGTCCAAGTGGGTGAAGCCAAAGGCGACCATAAATTATCACGCACCTGTTATTAGACGGCAGTTCAAGTATGCAAGCAAGTTAAGATTAAAGAGGGAAACAACCTGTTACAGGAGCCAAGAGGAAGCAAAGTGGCAACCTAGAGCCATATGGAGATTTAATAGAAATTCAGATTGGGGAGACTCCGGATCAGACGACCAAGGAAGGAAAGGATATAGAGGAGACTTTGAGGGACCTAGACAAGCTATTGCTAGCTAAGCATGTGAGTGAGATACAATTTTTTGAGTGGTTCTCCAACACAGTGATGGTCAATAAAGTCTTGGATAATCGACATACGTGAATTGGATCACTACCCATTGTCTAATTGAATAGTTAGTAGACTCAACAGCAAGTTGCGAGCTATTAAATATGATGGATGCATCATAGGGGTATCACCATATTCCGTTAGCCCCTGAAGAACAAAGTAAAGTGCGTTTCGTAACCAGCAAAGGAACCTATTGCTAAGTCGTGATGCCATTAGGATTAAAGAATTGATGTAGAGAAAGTGTAAACGAACGATATGATTGAGACAAAACTCTCAGTTTTTCTTAATTCAATCAAAATCAACTGTTAAGAAATCCTTACTTACTTTAAATTTTTCTACCAAATAAAATACTAGAATAATTAATACCTTAAGTAACAATAAAATAAAAGGAATAAATAATTAAACTAGAGATCTCAAACGATCATGCTTGTCTAGGAAAGCCAACACAATCTCGTCTACATTATTCTCCCTCTCATGAAAAATGATTCACCCTCGAATCTGACGCAATCTCATCTTCATATGAATTATCACCTTGGAAAGGTATCAAGTGTTTGACATTAAACACATTCAAAGTGCAAATGTGTGAAGACAGACGAAGGCGATAGGCAGTAGGATTGACTTGGTCCACAATCTCGATCGGACCAATTTTACATGCGGATAACTTGGGATACTCACGAGAAGAAAATCTATACATCGTCAATACGGCCCACACATAACCGACTATGTCAAACTTGAAATGGAAACGAAGCGCATCCGCATGCCACTTGTACGAAGCATTAACATCCTCTTCTAAGACACGTAGGGAGTGAACATCGTCACCCGACAGCTGGACAACACCCACACTCACTCTTGCTTTGACACCTCTAGGACCCTTATTGCCAAACCAAAAACCATTGGGCTTCACAAAATCCAAAATATTACCACCACCAGATGCAACTATAGAACCAACAACAACCATGATATTTTTATTTCTTAGGTTGCTCGAATAATTAAATGCTTAACCAGTAGGGCTATACACAAAACCTCTAAAACTGTGTATAGGGGTAAGTGATTGTACCAAATAGGATCAATGAAGAAGAAGCGCCTAAATAACGTCTCTCGTCATGTGTTCCTCAATTACATGATCCTCGTCATAAAAAGAGGTGGACCTTTATAATTGGTCGATGTCTGCTCATCCATAAGTAGCGTGCACGAATTGCCCGACTTTGAGCAAGCAGTCTGTTCGTCTAGAGACTGCAGCCACACGAGAAACAACAAAAGCTTGAAGGCGGCTTGGAACCAACCGTCGGGATAGAACCAACTGTTCATCTAGAGACTGCAGCCGATTGAGTCGTGGCTGCCGCGGGTGTAGAGGTTCGGTACCAAGGAGCCAGTCAATCCTCGAGCAAACTACTTTTCCACTAAAAAAGCCGTTGGTGTGCACCCGAAATAGAGTCTGAAACATAAATATTCAACGTATCCTGAAAGGTTAA